ACTCACTTTCTCCTTCCTTCAGTGATTTATTGGCAGCAGACCCTGGGCCAGCCTGTACTGGACACTGAGAACACACGTAACTGGTTGTCTGGGGAAGCCCCCCACGTATATCAGGATCTGGTTAGATGCACCATACCGTAGGTAAAGGGGGTGGGGCAGGCACATCTTGCAGCAGTTCATGGGAGGGAGGAACTGCCCGCTTAGGGGGCTGAAAATGGGGGAGAGGAGCAGGCGCAGAGATGCTGAGCATCCTGTGATGCACAGGGCAGCTGCCCAAGTGCCAGTGGTGCTCCCCTTGAGAAACACTGGCAGATTACCCTGAGGGGAGGGAAGAGTTTCTGAAAGGTAACTGCAGGGAAGTGGTATCAGATTTGCTCTTTAGGAAGATTACTGGCCGCACTGTAGTGAGAGATGAGTGGAATAAGCACACCAGAGAGACAATGATGTAGCGGCCCATTATGGTGGTCTGAACTAGGACAGTAACACTGAGGGGGTTTCCCCAGAAGGGAAAGAGTAGGGAGCTGGACACACAGACTGGCAGCCACCAGCAAACAGATGGTAATTAAGGCCACAGGAGTACATGGGGATTGTACAGAGAACGTGTGCAGAAGGAAAAGGAAAAAGGCCCAAGACATTGGGATTAGCTGAGGGGAGTGGAGCCAGCAAAGAGTAACTGAAGTAGGGGATGAGATCCTAAACTTGGGAGAAGCCAGACCATTTTAAGAATTTTGCAATTTACCCTAAGAGCCATTGAAAGTTATGTAATGGTTTTACACGGGTTCAGATTTGTATTTTGAAAAGATGACTCTGGTTGCTATAATGAGAATGGATTTGAGCGAGGCAAGAATGGAAGAAGGGAGGCCTTCCGGTATTAAGGTTTAGAGATAGTAGTGAAGCTGGACAAAAGTGATGACTTTGATGTTTAGAAAGTAAAACTGATATGGGTTGGTGGTGAGTTTTATACAGACAGGAAGCAGAGGAAGGTATCAAGGATGACGACTAATCTGACTCACATAACCAGATGAATGATCTATTTCCCCTCACTGAAATACGAAGTAATGGAAGAGAACCAGGGCTAGGTGATGACATCGCATTCAACATGCGGTAGAGGTCTGGGCAGGAGAAACAAAGATGGACGTGATTGGCCTGAAGACGGTAGGGGAATTCACGGATGTGGATAAAACAGCCAGGGAAAAAGGCCTAAGTGAGAAGGCAGCTGGAGGAGTCCAAGAGACTTAAAGTCCAGGAGAATTAAAAGGAACAGTCAGATGGAGGAGGAAAACTAGGTGGATGAGTCGTCATGAGGTCAAAGGGTGAGTTTCGTGTAGAAGAGTTTCAACAACGACGGTTATCAAGGAGAGCAGTTTCTGGTAGTGGTGGAACCTGTACTGAAACGCTTGAGGAGGTGAGGAAATAAAGACTAATTTAGACAGTTTTTTCAAAAGGTTTGGCTTTGAAGAAAAGAAAAGAGATAAGCAAAGGGATATAGGATTGAGAAGGGATTGGGGGAGTAGAGTGAGAGATGTCCAACCATGTTTAAATGTCAGTTGATCCCGTTGAAAGGAAACAGCAAAAGAATTGATAACTGATCATGAGAGATTCCTGAGAAGGTGGGAGAAAGGAGGATCCCAAATACATGCGGAGAGATTGGCTTTTAGTTGGAGAAGGGCTACCTGTTGTAATTTAATAGGTGAGAGGGAGAGGAGTTATGTGGACTTAGGTTTACAGGTTTAGTGGTAGGAAGGTAAAGGAATTCATTGCCAAGCATATATTTTCTCCATAAACAAAAAGTTTGCAGTGCCTGGGGGACACCCAAGGCCCCAGTGGAGATATCCAGCCAGGAGGTGGAGTTCAGAAGAGAGGACTGGGTTGGAGATAGGAATTTGAGTGTCCTATGCAGAGAGTGGGAACAACTCCCAGGATTAGGGGAAATCATCCATAGTTCCCAGCGGTGGCCTTGGGGATGCCACAGAACTGAAGTGTAGTGGGGAGGAAGGATGCAGCAAGGCCATTTAGAACAATAGACTATTCCCCTAACCTGATGGGTAATTCAGTACACATCCGGCTGGGGCCTGAGAGACATGGATGAGAACTGCAATGTCCTATGCAAACAGGTTGTCATGTGCTTGTTAGTTATGTTCCCAACACACAGGAACCTCAACAAAGTACTGTGGCAGGAGGGTGACAATGGCCTGGGCAACAAGAAGACAGACTGTAAGACTGAGCCCATTTCATCCCTGCCCCCAGAATGAAATGTGGAAACACTTATTTCCAGGCAGAAAGGTGATGAGAATCAACAAGCTGGGCTTTCCAACAGTCGTGGGTGAGGATGCAATGCCTCTCAGATTGCACTTCCTCAGGGCTAGCTTCGGAGTCTCCCTGTGTCCTGCAGTGGCTGGACAGGATTCTGGCATCATGCCTGTTAGGGTCGACTTCCTCTTCTTCAGGGGAAGAAGAGAGCCTCTGCGGCCCCAGTTCAGTGCCAGGACCAATCTTTTGATACTCATGAGAGAGAAGGTTTGGGAGTTTCAGAGTTTTTCAACACCCCAGTCCTCTTCCTTTTGCCCCCGCACCCCCAGCCCATCCCTCCACAGCATGAGGACAAAAAGGTGCTTTATCGCAATGTCTTTATTGCATTACTGGAGCAAGTTGGCCAGACTGTCCCCTCTTGGGGAAGGTAAAAAACAAAAAGACCAAAAAGTATCTCCCCGCACCTTCCCCCCACCCTCCCCCACAACTGCACAGCAATGTCTGAACACATCTGGTGACAAGACAATTTGCAAAAGTGGTCTAGGAACTACATTATGAACTGTCCCAACACAAGACATATAGTTGGCTTCCTTGTGAATCAGATATTTTTACGTAAACTACATGAATTTTTTTGACTACATCAAAGACAACAGAAGAATAGGTTTTTCACAAGTAACAACAGGGCACCAAAGTCACATGCTGGAATTTGTAAGGAAACAAGGTTGTTTGTCACAAGTGGCTGGAGCTAGAGCAAGGCTGAGCAGTTGGCGGCACAGGGCCCAGCCAGGCCCCCATGTGCACCCTCTGCTTTGAGGCCACTGAAGCCTCACAGAGGCCTACACTGGAGTCTTAACTGGCAACAGAGCCCACCTTGAAAACCAGGAATTGCCCAGACGCAATTCTTGGCCCAAGCGGACCCATGAGGTCTGTTCCTTGCAGCAAGAAGAGGGGACCCATGGAAGACACCACATTGGCTCTCAAAGCTTCTTCAGAGCACATGAGGTCCAAAATAGGTGGGAGGTCCTATCAAGGCTAGGAGACCGGATAGGGGAGGTATTAGGAAGTCTTCAACCTTAGCCAAATCAGTGGTAAGGACACAGCTAGCCTATACTGGCCTGAGCCATGGCCAAGGTTTCGCATCTATGGCCAGGTGGGGACAAAGCATTGTTCTGTGATGAAAGCTCCATCTAGAAAGATGGGCCTAGGACCTGTGTCCAGCCAGCCCAAAGCTGCTTCCATGTTGGTGGCTGGTTTCTCTAGCCAGGAAAACAATAAGCCCCTCTGGTCTTGGTCTCTTTACCCTCTGCCTCCGTGAGGCTGCAGTTAAGATGCCGAGAGAGAGAATCCCAGGGCCCAGATCAGGGGACAGGACACAGAGCTAGACTCAGAAGAACGGGGCCAAGACCACTGCGTAAAAGAGCTGTAGTAGACTGGTCCCTGTGCCACCTCCATGGGCTCAGGATCAGGCAAACCATGTGGCACCTAGTCAGAAAAGACACTTTCCAACCTCTCAAATGATCCTATGTCTCAGTTCCCACAAAGTAACAAATTCAAGGATGAAAAACGAGAGAGACACAAAAAGTGAAGGAATGTAGGACTAAAAAAGAGCAGCTCTTCTCCACAGGCCAGCCCAAGTGTAGACAAGAGACGGCGCTAGCTCTCTCCCTGCACACTCAGCGTCCGCCTGACAAGGAGCAGCACGGGGTTCCATGTTACAGGCGTGTATCCTTATTCTCACTTTCATTTACTTTAGATGAGACATTTAAAACACACTAAATTTTAGAACCAGCAAGGAGGCATTCCTTGCACCCAACTGCTTAAGCAGGTCCAACACCAGGGGCAAGGCCGTCCAGGTGTGCCAAGCAGCGATCCACCTGGCATTGCTGAGCAAAACTTGCAGCAAGATTTCAGTCTGACAATTTGGGCAAGGAATGTGCAGATGGATGACTTTCAGTTAAGGGCTTAAGTCAGAACAGTGACACTGGAGGGGGGTTCATTTGTCTGCCTGACTCCAACCTGAAACTTCAACATAACCAAGGAAAAGCCAAAGATATGCCCTTTCCTTCTGATCCTGTTAGTAAATCTGGAGGTTTTTCCAAAAATTTTAATCTATGTCTATTTCTATGTCATGGTCCATTCTAGACCCTGTCACCAAGATAAGTGCTCAGGGAAAGCTATATTTGTTTCTTTCATCCCCCAAACTAGAGCTTTCCTAGCTGGAAGCCTTATGCACCAAGATCCAGATATTGGCTTCTTCTCTAGCTCGGCCAGGATGCCTGACTGCACAGCTTTGGACTCAAACAGCTGACTCACTCCCAGCCTATTATGGTTCCAGGATTGGCTCAGAGGCAGCTGGACTCTTTTTGTCAAACGAGTGTTGACTAATGGGGGTGGTGCATAATGGAGGTAGGAGTAGATGCCTGCCTCCAACTCCATTCGCCCAGCTTCATTCAGCTGGAAGCCTTCAAACCACACGGAGCAGAAGATTTCTGGCCTAAATTCAGGGCCACTGGAGCATGAGGACAGTCTGTGCACATCATCTTAATGGCAGGATCACAAAAAAGGCAAAGAGAAAAGCTTCCAGATGGTTTCTACTAAGAGTCTAAACTCCAAGCCATCCTTTCCTCTCCTTGCAAGTTTCAGAAACCACTGTAATGAAGCCCATGGGTAACACGGTATGACCCTCGCCCTGGACACCAGAGCCCCTGGGTCTGTGACCTACTGAGGTCCCTGACCACCATCTAGCTGCCTTCTTGCTACAGCCTCAGCCACTATGGCTACCCTAAGCCCTACCCGGCAAAGGACAAGGAGATGAGGGGAAAATAAACCATGTTTACTGTTTCTGCAGGGCCTTTAAACTTGGGGAAGCACATATAATAAGGATGTTGTTCTACGTCATTATTTGGTATATCAAGCCATCTAAAAGCACTGGATTGCACCTTTTCTTTACTCATACAACAAGTTACAATGGTTTCAAACAACAGGTCATTCTTTAGGCTAAGGAAACACCACACAAGCACCAACTTCATTTTAGGATTCAAAGCTCACCATGCCCACAAAAAGAACACTATTCCTCATCTCTGAGAAACAAGGGCAGGGTAGAATGAGTTACACTGACTAATTTTAGTGTATGCTAAAACTAATCAATTCTAGTTTCCTTTCCTTTTCAAGTTTTGGTACAGAAGTGTGCGTTCAGATACTAGTGCCGCCTTCCTCCATCAGACCTTGGTCCGGCAACAAACACTGTTTTGCTGGGATCAATTTGGTTTCTAAACATAATGCTTCTTTAGAGGGACGAGCTACCGAAATGCTGATGCCTAAATTATGTTGGTCAAGAAATAAAGTACCTTCAGGTGAAGGTTTTTCACCTCCTTGCCTAAGATTCTCTAAATGAAATCCCAAGCGTCCCCGTTTTCCTTTGGTTGTCTTTCCCACAAATGCCATTCTACCACAGAACCAAAACAGCCTTCTTTTTGGGAGGAAGAGAGACTGCCAGATCAAAACAGAACTCCCGACAGAGCCGCGCCCCTGCCGCATTCTCAGAGTCGAAGACCAAAAGAGGACCTGGACTCTTCAGGAGTCTCCGGGTGCAACCCCCAACCCCCACCAATCTAATGTGTTCTGTTGAGGGTGCCTTGGCCAAAGAAAACAAGAACCCCAATGAAACAGACTTGCCCAAAAACAACATCTGCTTCCAGTTTCCTACGTCAGTGCGGCAGCACGGCTGAGTCCCAGAGAAGCCCAGGCCCCTTGTGCCCCGTCCTGGCCAGCGGCTGCTCGGCCTCTCCACTTCACATTCACAGAATCACTTCTTGTGCAAAACAAGCAGTCTACGTAGAAAGAATGCCCTCATAGTCTAATAAAAACGGTAGAAAAAAATGCTAGAGAGCCACCGCTCTTCCCACTCCCTCTTTATCTGCAGAGTGAGGGCATCTGTGCGTGGACAGGGTAGGCAAGCCTGACGTTGAGCGAGTCGTTGTGCTGAACGAGCGATGTCTGCTGGTAATGGAGCACCAGCTCCTTCAGTGAGCTGTACAGGTTGTAGGGCTCCGCAAAGCCATAGCCCCGAGCAGTGCTGTAGATCACACAGTGCTTCACTTCCCCATCGGCACTGCAACGATACAACACGAACACCAAAGAGAATTACGGCAGATAACAGATAAAGGGACCCCAAATGATCTGAGAGCAACTGTCTGAGACAACTGTTCTGCAAAGGAGGGGAAACAGAAGTGTTTTGTCAATCAAAGCTTGTAAAATGTCACATCCATGTGTGTCCCCCCTCACTCCCTTATAGACCTGTCACAGAGATACCCTTCACCTCCCACTAAGACCTGGCAGAGCTACAATAGGCGGCTGCATTTAACACTCAGCCTGCATCTTCACTAGGCAACGATGCATTGGACAGGGGCAGAACAAGCCAATTTTTTTGAAGTGTACGAATCAGTGGTTTTTAGAACATTGACAAGGTTGTACAACAATCACCACTACCTAACTCCAGAATATTTTCATGACCCTAAAAAGAAACTGAATCTATTGGCAGGTACTCCGTATTCCTCCCTCCCCCCAGATCCTGGCAACCACTAACCTACTTTCTGTCTGTATGGATTTACCTATTCTAGACATTTCCCATAAACGGAATCATACAGTATCACACCACCTGTTGTACCTGGCTTCTTCCACTTAGCACACCATTTTCAAAGTTCTTCCCTGTTGTAGCATCTATCAGTACTTCATTTCTTCTTATGGCTGAATAATATTCCACTGTATGGATATACCACATTCTGTTTATCCATTCATCAACTGATGGACACTTAGGTTGTTTCAACTTTTTGACTATTATGAATAATGCTGCTCTGAACATTCGTGTACAAGTTTTTGTATGAACAGATGGTTTCAGTTCTCTTGCATACACTCCTAGGAGTAGAACTGCTGAGTCATATGGTAACTCTTTGACTTTTTAACCAAACTGTTTTCCAAAGTGGTTGCACCATTTTATATTCCTGCCAGCAGTGTATGAGAGTTCCAATTTCTCCACATCCTTGCCAACACTTGTTATTGTCCATCTTTTTTATTATAGTCATCCTACTGGTATCTCATTGTGGTTTTGATTTGCAGTTCCCTAATGACTAACGATGTTGAGCATTTTTTCATGTGCTTATTGGCCTTTTATATATCTTCTTTATAGAAATGTCTATTCAGACACTTTGTCCATTTTTAAATTGGGGCATTTGTCTTTTTACTGTTAAGAGTTCTTTATGTATTAGACACTAGTCATTTAACAGATATATGATTTGCAATATTTTCTCCCATTCTGAGTTGTCCTTTCACTTTCTCAATAGTATTCTTTGAGCCAAAGTTTTTAATTATGGTGAACTCCAATTTATCTCTTTTTTCTTTTGTTATTTGTGTTTTCAGTGTGGAAGAAACCACTACCTAACCCAAAGTCACAAAGTTTATCCCTGTGTTTCCTCCTAAGTGTTTTATTCTTTCAGCTCTTAGATTTAGGTCTATACTCCATTTTGAGTTAATTTTTGTACATGGTGAGAGTCAAGGGTCCAACTTCATTCTTTAGCATGTGGCTCACCAGCTGTCCCAGCACCATGTGTTGAAACGATTATTTTTTCTCTGTTGAATGGTCTGGAGACCCTTGTTGAAGACCAACTGGCTATAAATGTAAGGGTTTATTTCTTGATTCTCAATTCTTTTTTTTTTTTTAAGATTGGCACCTAAGCTAACATTTGTTGCCAATCTTCTTTTTTTTTCCTTCTTCTTCTTCTCCCCAAAGCTCCCCGAGCATATAGTTGTATATTCCAGTTGTAGGTCCTTCTGGCTCTGCTACAGGGGACACCACCTCAGCATGGCCTGAGGAGCAGTGCCACATCCACGCCCAGGATCCGAACAAGCGAAACCCTGGGCCACAGAAGCAGAGTGCATGAACTTAACCAATCGGCCACAGGGCTGGCCTCCTTGAATAGATTCTCAATTCTGTTCATTGATCTACATGTCTACCCTTATTCAGTACCTCACAATTTTGATTACTATAGCCTTGTTGTAAGTTCTGAAATTAGGAGGCATACTTCAACTCTTCCATTCTTTCAAGACTATTTTGGGTCTTCTGGATCCCTTATATTTTCATATATATTTTAGGATCATCTTATCATCTTCTGCAAAAATCCAGCTGGGATTTTTCATACGGATTACACTGAACATGTAGATCAATTTGGGAAGTACTGCCATCTTAACAATACTAAGTCTTTTGATCTCTGAACACAGGCTGTCTTTCCACTTATTTTGGTCTTCTTTAAGCTCTTTCACTGATGTTTTATAGTTTGCACTGTGCAGCTCTTGTACTTCTTCTGTTTTAATCCTAGGTATTTTGTCATTTTTGATGCTATTATAAATAGCATGTCTTCTTCATTTCATTTTCAGATTGTTCACTGCTAGTATACAGAAATACAACTGATTTTTATATCCTGATCTTTTAACCTGCAACCCTGCTAAACTAATTTATTAGCTCTAATAGTTCACTTCTTCCTTTCGAATCTGGATGGCTTTTATTTCTTTTTCTTGACTAACTGGCCTACCTAGAACTTTCTGTACAATGATTAGAAGTGGTGAGAGCAGACATCCTTGCCTTCTTCCTGATCTTAGGGGAAAGAATTCAGTCTTTCACCATTAAGTATAATATTAGCTGTGGGTTTTTCATAGGTATTCTTTGTCAAGTCGAGGAAGTACCTACCTATTCCTAGTTTGTTCAGTGTTTTTTTAACATGAAAGAGTGTTGGATTTTGTCAAATGCTTTTTGTGAGTCTACTGAAATAACCATGTGATTTTTGTCCTTTATTCTATTAATATATTATGTATTACATTGATTTTTAATGTTTAACCACTCCTGCATTCCTGGCATGAATCCTCCTTAGTCATGGTATACAATCCCTTTTATATGCTGCTGGCATTGCTTTGCTAGTATTTTGTTGAGGATTTTTATGTCTATATTTATAAGAGATACTGGTCCACAGTTTTCTTCTGATATCTTTGTCTCATTTGGGTATCAGGGTAATACTGCCCTTGTAAAATGAGTTGGGCAGTGTTCTCTCTCTATTTTTCAGAACAGCTTGTGAAGGACTTGTGTTAATTCCTTTTAAAATATTTGGTTATATTCACCAGTGAAGTCAGCTGGGCCTGGGCTTTTCTTTGTGGGCAGTTTTTTAAATTAATAATTCAATTTCTTTACTTCTTATAGTTCTATTCAGATTTTCTATTTCCTCTTAAGTCAGTTTTGGTAGTTTGTGTACTTCCAGGAATTTGTCCATTTCATCTAGGTTTAAATACAATTGTTTACAGCATTCCTTCATTATCTTTTCCTATTTCTGTAAGGACTACAAGTAATGTCCCCTCTTTCATCCTGATTTTAGTAATTTGTGTCTTCTCTCTCTCTTTTTGTGTGTGTGTGTGTGTGTGTGTGTGTGAGTTTAGCTAGAGGTTATTTTGTTAATTCTGACTTTTGGTTTCACTGATTTTCTCAATTGTTTTCTATTCTCTATTTCATTTACTTCCATTCTAATCTCTATTATTCCCTCCCTTCTGCCTGCCTGGGTTTATTTTGCTCTTCTTTTTTCAGTTTCTTAAGGTGGAAGAAGGTTATTAATTTGAGAGCTTCTTTTTTGATATAAATGTTTATAGTTATAAATTTCCCTCTTAGCACTGCTTTAGCTGCGTTCTGCAAGTTTTGAGCTGTTGTGTTTCTGTTTTCACTCATCTCAGGGTATTTTCTAACTTCTCTTTTCTTTCCTTGATGATTGATTATTTAAGAGTGTGTTGTTTACTGTCCACATTTGTGAATTTCAAAATTTCCTTCTGTTTTTTGATTTCTAATTTCTTTCTATTGTGGTTAGAAAATATATCTTGTATGATTTCAACACTTTCAAATTTATTGAAATTGTGGCCTAACCTGTGGTCTATCCTGGATAATGGTTTGTGTGCACTTGAGAAGAATGTGTTCTGTGTTACTAGATGGAGTGTTCTAGAGATGACTGTTAGGTCTAGTTATTTTACAGTGTTGTTCAAGTCTTCCGTTTCCTTGACGACCTGTCTCATTAGTCTATCCCTAATCAAATTTCTTTTTTTTTCTTTCCAGTCCAACTAGTTTTATTCTTTTATTTTTTTTATTTATTTTTTATTGAGTTATTGATAGGTTACAATCTTGTGAAATTTCAATTGTACATTAATGTTTGTCAGTCATGTTGTAGGTGCACCACTTCACCCTTTGTGCCCACCCCCCACCCCACCTTTCCCCTGGTGTCCACTAAACTGTTCTTGGTCCATAGTTTTAAATTTCTCATATGAGTGGAGTCATACACAGATTATCTTTCTCTTGCTGGCTTATTTCACTGAACATAATTCTCTCAAGGTCCATCCATGTTATTGCAAATGGAATGATTTTGTTCTGTTTTGCAGCTGAGTAGTATTCCATTGTATATATGTACCACATCTTCTTTATCCATTTGTCTGTTGATGGGCACTTAGGTTGCTTCCACGTCTTGGCTATTGTAAACAGTGCACAGGACTTTTGGGATTGCTGACTTCAGGCTCTTTGGATAAATACCCAGTAGTGGGATGGCTGGATCGTATGGTAGTTCTATTTTTAGTTTTTTGAGGAATCTCCATACTGTTTTCCATAGTGGCTGCACCAGTTTGCATTCCCACCAGCAGTGTATGAGGGTTCCTTTTTCTCCGCAACCTCTCCAACATTTGTTGCTATTAGTTTTAGATATTTTTGTCATTCTAACGGGTGTAAGGTGATATCTTAGTGTAGTTTTGATTTGCATTTCCCTGATGATCAGCGATGATGAGCATCTTTTCATGTGCCTACTGGCCATCATTATATCTTCTTTGGAGAAATGTCTGTTCATGTCTCCAGCCCATTTTTTGATCCCTAGTCAAATTTCTTAATCCTCAGTGGCAACAACAATAAGGATCACAAGTGCTTACTATCTGACTCCCTAACCTAGTGGACAACAGACATTGCTGGCTGCAGGTCTTTAGCCTGAGAAGGCTGTAGAGTTAAGCAATTTCTTCTTAGGCTTCTTTATGATGTCATTAACAGAAATTAAAACAGAAAAACAAATGAGTTTCATAACTTGACTTCCTACTACATGATCATTTTAATTTTGCAACGAGAGTCTCCTAAAAAACTGAACTTATTCATACCCCTAATTCAGCAAATGTCCTAAGTATACTGAGACATCACTGTAGGCAGGCTTCCCGTCGCCAGAGAGGGTGGGAAACAAGTGGAAGTCTTTTGCTTCCAACCATCCTCAATATGAACTCTAATAAGATATATGACTGCAGTTGGTTTTCACAGGGAAAGGAAATCCATACTGCTGTGAACTTGAGTCTGGTCAAATCTGTGGCTAAAAGAAGGAGAAAAAGAATACAGCTCCCCAAGATATTCAGGCTGTTCCTTGGTCTTCCAGGGAGTAGCTGAGCAGCACCTTCCACCAGTCAAGTCCTTAACCCACAGGCTGCCACCAAATGACTTAAGTGAGGGTGAGGGACCAGTGCACTGGGTTTACTGCCTTCCTTCTTTTTACTGTTTTTAAAAGAACTCAAATCCTGCAAAAACCATCCTCTCCTGCCATTTCCACTCAGATAACTTAGGCAGCCCAGGTCAGAGAGACATGAAACGTTTCAAGTCGCTGTATCTTCAGACAACAGTAATCCAATGCACTTTTCAACTCCTCTCCCATTTTCTGCCCATAGACATCCCTTTGTTCATACTTTCAAAGTCCAGCTCAAATGCCACCTCTTCCATAAAACCACCTAACCCTCTTTCTCCACTCAAATTAACAGTGCTTCATGTGCACATGATACCTATTGATACCTATTTATCTTGGATATTTAACTGTGAAATTAAGAAAGCATGGTGCAATAGAAGAATGTGGGCTTTGAAACCAAGTAAATTTGGATTCAAACTCTGACCCATGGCAGAGGTAGACCACTAAGGAGAAGAAAGTAGTGAACTCTCTGTTAATATGAGTGTCTTTTGTCTATCCTCACCACCTTGCTCTTTGAAGGCAAAATCATTTTGTCATCTTTGCTTCCCTTCTGCCATGTCCATCAGTAGTGTCACTATCATAATAAAATTAGTAGGTAACATTTATTTATTATGTGCCAGCAATGATCAAAGCACATTCCATTACATATATTAACTCATTTAATATTTACAAAAACCCTCAAGTAGATATTATTATTATCCTTATTTTACAGATAAGGAAACTGGGCAAAGAAAGGTTAAGTAAATTATACTAGGTCACACCTCTGGTAAGTAGTAGAGTCAGGATTTGAATACAATGTATTTGATATCAAAGCTTGCTCTCATAACCGTCATTCTATACCTCCATTCTAAGTATGGTCTTTGTCAATGAAGAAATTTGCCTTTTTAAGGAATATACACAACATTTAGGCAAAATCTGACTGAGGCATGGTTAGCTGTCCCAAGAATTTCACTTTCCATTTTTCTCATACTTACCCCAAAAGAAGACTATTTAAGTACAAAATTCAGATAGAGTTTTTCTTCTGAAGTAAAAACAGTTCTATTTAATCAAGCCTTCCTTAATCTGACAATGAAGACCACGGCAGGCATGCAGGAGACTACTAAAGAATTAAGTGATCTTTTCAATTACCAATCTCATACTACTTTTCACAGATACCTGAAATCCAACAGTTACACTGCAGGGCCTAACCTGTTTACCGTTTAAATTAAAATCCCAGAAATAATTTCAGATATCGTTTATCCTAAAGCAACTAACTGGTTTCTTTGTACAAATATGAATGGTCTAAGCCATGGGTTCTCATTATTGTACTTCAACTAATTTGATCTGAATTTTATGAGGGGTTGATTGTCTACTAGTCAATGCAGAAGTTTTCAAAGGTCACACCCCCAGAGAAAACTCACACCACAGAGCAAGCATAGCATCCTTCCTTGCTGCTCTCACGGATTAAGAATGCGCCATCAGGCTTCCCACAAAGCAAGTCCTCTGCTTGTACTCGATTGATATCCTCAACAAACCAGGTTTTCTCATCATAATGGGGCAGGCTTTCATCTTCCTCATTGATAAAATAGGTCCTAAAAATTAAATGTTAAAATATTATTCTAACAATCAAGTTACTTATATCTAATAGCAAATTCATGAGTATAACTCTTTTTTAACTCTTCAACCACAAAATGACAAAGTGAAATTGCAATTAGTTGGATTTTTTTTTAACAACTTGATTACTTGCTATGGTGCAGAAAGCACAGAATTCACATGTCTCATCCAATAAGCTGACACATGAATGTCTGAATGGGCAATGCTTATGCATCCAGATTTGATGTGGTTTGGCAGGCCTCTGAACTCAAGACCCTGTAGGGTACTCTTCAGGCAATTCAACTCAAAAGAGGTGCAAAGTTCTTGATTCCATGTCCTCAAGTGACAATGAGAACCAACATTTAGCATGTATAAAAAAGGCCCATGTCTTATATTGGGAACAAAGCCATCTGACAGAAAGGTACAGAGAGCTTACTCATCAGCATCCTCATTCTTGATTCCCAGCCAGGCATTTAGGCGCTTCTGTCTCACTCCTTTGTGATTGAGCCATCTGCCAGAGGGAAGACACCAGTGTCAGTATGTGTGCACATTCTGCCTGGACAAAGTAGATACATCCAAGCCAACCAAACTTCCAGAGTCCAGGAACCTTTTATTTTCCCCAGTCCCACTAAGCATGGTCAGAGATTTCCCTAAACTAGTTTCTCCATTACTTTTCCTTCAACTTTTTGCAAAAACACAGAAACAGAGAGAGCTACCTAAAATTAAACACTTCTCTCACTTTTCATTTCCCCATTACAAGCACACATATATTTGTGCTCAAACACAGTTGAGACATTTGTTTCTGATATCCCTAGTTAGGTGAGCAGTGTCACATCCGTAATCTCCACTAAGCCAGAGGACTGAATTCCTGTGTGGCCTACTATACTGAGTTTAAAATTCTAAAACAGAATTTCAAGGTCTATTTTTGCACCTAAGCAAGCCACAAGAAATTCAAGGTGGCAATCTGAGTAATTAAAATGAATTTTCTTCATCGCCAGGTAAATCACAGTATTTTAAAATATGCCAACATTTTATACGTAAAATTATATAAACCATTACATTTAGTTCCATTGAGATGGCTGATAGTCTAAAACTTGAGTAGAATATAAAAACTCTTTCATTCATCACCACCCCCCAACCGGGCTCCTCATCAATCAGGTCTCATCATAAACATCATCTCTTCAGGGAGGAATACCCTAATTGTCCCAAGTAAGGCATCCCCTAGTCACTTTCTAGATTTTACCTTATTTTATCATCTTCATAGCACTTGCCTGAAATTCTTTCTTTTATATTTTCACTTGTTTATGTTTGTCTCCCCCACTAAAATTTAAGCTGCTTTAAAGGAAGGGCTCTGTCCTGTTCATGCTATTCCCAATGCTGAAAAGAGAGCCAGCACATGGCAGATATTCAATAAACAGCCAGTAAATATTTGCTGCTGGGCTGCTTTTAACAAAATCTTCAGGGTCAATTCCAAGGTCATCTTCTACCTTTCTCTGACCCCAAGTACACTTGATATCTTGACATCACACCTAATTTTAAAGTTCTTTTAGACAAATTTCATAGCCTTTCTCAGTTAAGACATGTCCTTCAGTTAACCTGGATTTCATTTTTTACACTTAGTGAAGCAGGAAAACAACTAACACATGATCTTGATGGAATTTACTTAGTAGCAAATCCCCTCCCACAGCATCACTTCTCTTCGCAAAATATCCAGATACCCTCCCCTAAACATTCTTATCATCCAAAGTTTTCTATCCTTAAAAAAGTGATCTTTTCTTTAGTAAAGACGCAGGTACACTCAGTAAAGGGCTTGAAATGAACAAACTACACCACATTTTCTCCTGAGTCCCCATTTTCTTTTAACCACCAACCTCTTAAACTGAGCTTCTCTTTCTGCCACAAGAAATGTTAGGATACCCAGAAATATCCAGGAGAAAGAAAAGAAGGTTTTTCACTCACCCTCCATCTATTATAGTCTCTCCCTTCTGACACAGGCAACTTTTCAAATCTCCCGCAAGTCCATTTCAAATACTACTATATAGTTCTGAGTCCTTAACCATCTCTTAACAACACCAGGAACTGACCAGCTTTTAAAAATTATTTTGAAAATGCTTGAATAACTTTAGCAAGTACGTTAATTCATATTTAACTTATTGATTAATGCCTAGATCACAAGTAAAGGCAGGTACATTCTAGAGGAAAAACCTGAGGCAAAGCAACAAAGGACCCAACATCCAGTTCTCATTCTGTTACTAATTGTGAGATCTTGACCAGGCTCTCCTTACGTATTCTCTTCTAAAAAACAGAAAAAATGCTACTCCCATAGCTTACATTGAAGCTATCTTAAGAAAAACAAGAGAGAAAAAATAACTGGTATCAGCATATCCTTACTCAGTTGCCGCCCGAGCACGTAAGAAAAAATATATGTGTTTATGATGCCCTTTCTAAAGGTCTAATGAGCCTTTCAACCCAACTACCACCCTCTAAGAGGAAAGGACCTTGTGTTTCAGTCCAGAAAAGAGGGGACTGGGCAGTCCCTGAAAGAAGGGGCTAAGAGAAACTACTTTGAAGCTAAAGCAGCAGTCCTGAAGGAGAATTATGCTTCCCCAGAGCCTGGCTAAAGTATCAGATGGAGTGACAGAAAAGGGTGCCTCATGCACAAGGCTGCCTGGATGGAGGACAAGAAGATGCAGGCTGTTGGTGGCCAAGAAGGAGGTTACTGTGAAGAGTACTTCTGAATTTTCTGCAATAGCAGTATTTAATCAGATGGCAGGACACAATGATTAGGGGCAGAGGAAGCACCCAATGATGGCAGTGATGAGGGACAAGGGACTCTGCTCCCTTAGTTACCTGGCACTACCTCAGGGTGACATTCTTAAATGATCTGTATGTGTACATGTATGTGTAGGAGGTGGGAAGAGACCCAATCATAACTGAGATAAAATACTTCTCATATAATGAGGCAGGTAGGAAGTTGGAATAAATTATTTTATTTTATTTTTTGTGAGGAAGAGTGCTGCTGAGCTAACATCTTGTCAATCTTCCTCTATTTTATATGGGATGCCACCACAGCATGGCTTGACGAGTGGTGCTAGGTCCACACCCAGGATCCAAACCTGCAAACCCTGGGCCACTGAAACAGAGCGCACGAACTTGACCACTGTGCCACTGGGCCAGCCCTGGAATAAATTAATTTTAATTTAAAGTAGGAGGGAAATACAACTTGTCTTTTACCAAGTTTTATGAACAGAACTTCACACTTGCTAAAGAAGAGTAAAATGAGATAATATACAAGGCATTTTGAAAAGATAAATCACTTTTAAAATTTTAAAGATCTAAGAGATAAATGAAGGACTGATTCACTACTTTAAAAAACCCAGAAAGGGGCTGGCGCAGTGACATAGTGGTTAAGCTCGTGTGCTCTGCTTTGGTGGCCCAGGGTTCACAGGTTCAGATCCCAGGCACAGACCTACACGCTGCTCATCAAGCCATGCTGTGGCGGCATCCCACATAGAAAATAGAAGAAGATGGGCACAAGTGTTAGCTCAGGGACAATCTTCCTCAAGCAAAAAAAGAAAAAGAGAGAAAAGGGGGCTGGCAACAAATGTTAGCTCAGGGCCAATCTTCCTCACCAAAGACGACAACAACAACAACAACAGAATAACCCAGACCATTGCTGGCGAAAACATAAAATAGTGCAGTCACTTTGGAAAAGTCTGGCAGTTCCTCACTTAAACATAGTTACAATATGACCCAGCAATTCCACTCCTCAGCATACACCCAGGAGAAGTGAAAACATATGTACATACAAAAACGTACACAAATGTTCACAGTAGCACTATTCATAATAGCCAAGAGACGGAAACAACCCAAATGTCCATCAATTGAAGAATAGTTAAACAAAATGCAGTATATTCATACAATGAAATATTATTTGGCCATAAAAATGAATGAAGTACTGATACATGCTACACATGGATGAACCTTGAAAACATTATGCTGAGTCAAAGAAGCCACTCCCAAAAGACTACATATTATGTAATTCCGTTTATATGAAATGTCCAGAATCGGCAAACCAATAGAGATGGAAAATAGCTTAGTGGTTGCTTAGGGCTGGAGGGAATAGTATGATAGGGTATGATAGGTAAAGCATACATCGTTTCGTTTTGAGGTGAAAAAAAATGTTCTAAAATTGACTATTGTGATGATTGCACATATCTGTGAATATATTGAAACACTGAATCATACACTTCAAATGGGTGAATTGTATGAGATGTGAGCCATATCTCAATAAAGTTGCTTAAAAAAAAATCAGAACCCACCACCTTCCACAGAACTCCTTTAGCTGCAAACTCCTCTAGTACATATTACTCAAAACTCATCATTAATGTACCTATATTGTTATGGCAAGTTATTCTTTATTTTGAATTTATGAATTTAGGTTTATGAATACCAAGAAAAGTAAATGGTGATTATGAAAACTAACTCCTGATGAAAAAACATTGTAAAAGAACAACCAAATTCCTGTTTTGAAAAGAAATTTTAAAGGATTTTATATTTAAGAAATTTTTTATTCTATATTTAAGAAATGAAATTCTGTATTTCAGCATTCAAGAATATTCTACATATAGTAAAGTTGCAGGGTACAAAATCAACAGACAGGGCCGGCCCCATGGCCGAGTGGTTAAGTTCGCGCGCTCTGCTGCAGTGGCCCAGGGTTTTGCCGGTTCGGATCCTGGGCGCAGACATGGCACCACTCGTTAGGCCATGCTGAGGCGGCATCCCACATGCCACAGCTAGAAGGACCCGCAACTAAGATATACAACTATGTACGGGGGCAGGTTGGGGAGATAAAGCAGAAAAAAAAAAAGAAGAAGATTGGCAACAGTTGTTCGCTCAGGTGCCAATCTTTAAAAAAAAAATCAGCAGACAAAAATCAGTTGCATTTCTATACACTAACAATGAACTAACAGAAAGAGAAATCAAGAATACAATCCCACTTATACTTGCAACAAAAAGAATAAAATACCTAGAAATAAGTTTAACCAAGGAGATGAAAGATCTGTATACTGAAAACTATAAGACATTGTTGAAAGAAATCAAAGACCATGCAAAAAAATGGAAAGATATTTCATGTTCATGGATTGGAAGAATTAACATAGTTAAAATGTCCATATTACCTAAAGCAGTCTAGAGATTCAATGCAATCCCTATCAAAATCCCAATGACCTCTTTCATGGAAACAGAACAAAGAATCCTAAAATTTATATGGGACAACAAAAGATCCTGAATAGCCAAAGCGATTCTGAGAAAAAAGAACAAAGTTGGAGGGATCACACTCCCTGATTTCAAAGTCTACTTACAAAGCTATAGTAATCAAAACAGCATTATATTGGCAGAGAAACACACACACAGACCAAGGGAACAGAATTGAGCCCAGAAATAAACCCACGCATCTATGGATAGCTAATTTTCAACAAAGAAGCCAAGAACATACAATGAAGAAAAGAAACTCTCTTTAACAAATAGTCTTGGGAAAACTGGACAGCCACATGCAAAAAGAAAAGTAGACCACTATCTTACACCATACACAAAAAACTAACTCAAAATGGATTAAAGGCTTGAACGTAAGACCTGAAACCACAAAAAGAAAACATAAGCAGCACGCTCTTTCACATTGGTCTTAGCAGTATCTCTGGATACGTCTCCTCAGGCAAGGGAAACAAAAGGAAAAATAAACAATGGGACTGCATCAAACTAAAAAGCTTCTGCACAGCAAAGGAGACCGTCAACAAAACGAAGAGACAACCCACCAACTGGGAGAAAATATTTGCAAATCATACATCCGATAGGGGGTTAATTTCCAAAATACAGGAAGAACTCATATAACTCAACAACAACAAAAAACAACCCAGTTAAAAAATAGGCAGAGTATCTGAACAGACACTTTTCCAAAGAAGATAGACAAATGGCCAAAAGGCACATGAGAAGAGGTTCAACATCACTGATTATTAGGGAAATGAAAATCAAAACCACAATGTGGTATTACCTCATGCCCATGAGAATGACTATTCTTAAAAAGGCAAAAAATAACAAGTGTTGAAAAGGACGTGGAGAAGAGGAAACCTTCATACACTGCTGGTAGGAATGTAAAATGGTGCAGCCACTAAGGGAAACAGTATGGAGATTTCTCAAAAAATTAAATAAAGAACTACCGTATGATCTAGCTATTCCAATTCTGGGTATTTATCCAAAGAACACAAAAACACTAATTTGAAAAGATAGATGCACCCTATGCTCATTGCAGAATTATTTACAACAGCCAGGACCTGGAAACAACCTAAGTGCCCACTGACAGATGAATGGATAAAGAAGATGTGGAGTGTGTGTACACACACACACACACACACACACACACACACACACACACAATGGAATACTACTCAGCCATGAAAAGGGATGAAATCTTGCCATTTTTGACAATATGGATGGACTTTGAGGGTATTATGCTAAGCAAAATAAGTCAGACAAACAAAAACAAATACCATATGATTTCACTCATATGTCAAAGATCAAACAAACAAACACATAGATACAGAGAACAGATTGGTAGTTACCAGAGGGGAATGGGGTGGGAGGAGGGAAAAAGAGGAAAAGGGGGACATCTGTATGGTTACAGATGGATACTAGACTTTTGGTAGTGAACACAATGTAGTCTATACAGAAGTCAAACTATAATGATGTACACCTGAAATTTATATATTATAAACCAATGTTAACTCAATAAAAAAAATTATTCTAGAAACAGTACATTGGGATCTCAGCAGAGAATCTCATAAAATCCTTGTGGGCTATGCAGTGGGAAATCGGGGAAATGTCCACACCCACAGGGTGTGACAGGGATGAATTAATGATAATCTCTCGTTGGGTACTGTAGAATTCCAACCTATTCCAACTTCAAAACAAGATCAAAGAAAGATCATACTCAGTATCATGCAGTACACATTTCACAACCGGTCTCCTTCAGGACTGACTATGCAATTTCAGCATTGGAACAGACAGAATTCACAAGCCTAGTACTGTCTCTGTTAGAAACATCAAAGCAGGGACTATGCGACACTGGACTATCCTTCCTGAAGCAATCCTTCCAAAAGAGGTAATGGTTGTGTCGCCCTCAACTTCCTAGCTATCTTTACTAGCAGGTCATGGCTTATTATCCATCATGTTATCTAAACTCTCTTATACTTAGCTTACATAACTCATTAAAGGAACTTTCAAGGTCTAGTTTGCCACACTTATTCATGACCCATGGGATGGTATATTTCTTGCTATCTCATTGCTTTCCAGGGCAAAGAAGAGCTTCCCCTCATTCCTCTGATCCATGGCATAGCCTTCTGGGGCCTTCTTTCAGCTTCATTATGTGACCAGCACCATTTAAGCACTCCAAGAACAGACAACACTGATTTGAGACAAGGGCAACTTCTTGCTTGTTCCCAAAGCTCTTCTGTGTGGTATGTGTACTTGCTTGACTTTTTTTTGGTCACAATAGCAAACCAAAATGATCTCTAGAGAGGAGTGTTACTAAAAGCTACTCAGCATAGTATAATTGTGATTGTTTGCCCCGAAGACAATCACCTTAAATTTTCCTCTACTGAAACTCAACAGTCACCAGTTCCAACTTCTAAGCTTATATTTCATCCCCTTTCCCTTTCTCACATAAAGAAGCCCTGAAGGCTATGGAAAATCCAGTCAGAGGTCTTTACCCTGTCTTCTCCTGCCAGGAGTTTGAACTGAGTTGTGTTACATACATGAAAGTCAGCCATAAAGATATGTCCTAACAGTATATTCATTACCTAGAACTAAACCTAATATATTTTCCTTTCTCATGGACTCTCTCCTTCTATGAAGCAGCCATTTGTCCTTCTAAAAATCTAACCCACACACCTTGTTCTGATAATGAACCTTTCAATCTCTATTTGGATAATATCCCTGTATCTTGCTAAATCATATCGTTTTCCACAATATTGAAGAGCTGGGTTTCACCCCTCAGGTGAAATTAGCTTTCATGTCTGCTATTGACAGATTTCTAGTATTTAAATACAGAATTTCATTTCTTAAATACAGAACACCTTCCACAGATTGTTCTGTATCCCTATTTGTAGGCCCCTACTATTAGTGTCTTTGCCTGTGCCCATGAGGGGTAATTTCTATTTCTGTGGTTCTACTATGTAACCAAAGATTCTGGTTTATGTGTTTTAGGCAAACATTAATCTGTACTTCTTAAGCTATATCACTTTGCTTGTGCCACAGCAAACCTCTGAGACTTCCAAGGCATTTGTATGGATTAAAGTCCTACATTCTGATTTGCCCCATACAGTGACTTTAGGTAAACTGTGGTACCCCAACTATTAATAGGACTGCTTTCCTAAATTCTTACAATCTCAGTGGCCAGTTCTCAATTAAAAATCTCTTCGACCTCTAACATCTCCAGCAGTAATCTGGTGCTGGTGTTTCCCTCCCATATAGGCCCAGACTACTCACACAAGGTGCTGATCTCGGATCTTGCGCAGCTGGATCAGGTCAGGTTTGATACTGTTCATTTTTTTATCTATTTCCCGGTTGTCCAAAGCTTGTTTCTTCAAATCCTGCTCTAGACGCATTTTACTATCATGAATCTCACCCAGACGTGATTTCAATTTGTCATAATTCATCATAATTCTGTGAAAATATTTGACATATTAAGGCTAAAATGGGAACCAAGCAGAAGCATTCTATACTGTGAGCACAGCCCCAATCTCTTAAGTGTGGTGGACATCTGTTGTTTCTGCATGGCCCATAGCCATTCTCATGCTTCTGGGAGCAACACCCTGACGTTCCCTGTAGGTAAGTGTTCCCTGCCCCTATCTCAGACTCAAGGGTGAACATCCACATTACCCAGCCCAGCCAATAGCAGCATTCCATTCCATCCTATCCCTATCCTCAGGCCACAGTGACTGGTTTAGGAACAGGAATATTACCCAAACGGACCCGGTGAAAGTCAATTCTAAGACTTTTGCTAGAATTATTGTAAACAGAGATTCTCTTTCCACTGGGATTGCCAAATTATGAATATGTGATTCTAAGACACCCAGAAGCTATACTGCCTCCTCACAAGGAAAGCCTACCTGAGGATGAAGCCAACACAAAGAAAAACTGAGCCAAAAGACAGGGTATGAGAGAGAATCCTGATGATCTTGTTTGGGCCCTGGATCCAGCCATGACTGAATGAGTAAAGCTATATGTATGATATATAAGAGGGACACAATAAATCAGTTAAGAGCAATAGCTTAGCAGTCAGCCTGCCTAAGTTTGAATCTCTGCCCTGCCACTTACTGTGTGGCTATGGGCAAGTTATTTAACTTCTCTGTGCCTTCATTTCCTCATCTGTTTAAAACGGGCACCTACAATAGTACCTACTTCACTGGGTTACCATGTGAATTAAAGGTCGTAACAGGTAAAAGGTCTAAACTGTACCTGGTACATCTTGGTAGGCACTTGGTAGATGATGGCTATAAGCTTTTCCAGCACACAAAGTTTTGCTGTGCTCTGAACGCTTAAGGCAAAAATGGTCCACATTACTCATGTGTCACTCAATAATATGTGGTTTTATATCACTATTAAAACTTCAGGGGGCCGGCCCCATGGCTGAGTGGTTAAATTCGCGCAATCCGCTTTGGCGGCCCAGGGTTTCGCTGGTTCGGATCCTGGGCACGGACATGGCACTGCCCATCAGGGCACAGTGAGGCAGCGTCCCACATGCCACAACTAGAAGGACCCACGACTAAAATATACAACTATGTACTGGGGGGGATTTGGGGAGAAAAAGCAGGAAAAAAAAAAGATTGGAAACAGTTGTTAGCTCAGGTGCCAATCTTTAAAACAAAAAAAACAACTTCATCATGCTGCTTCACCTCCCCTTGCAACTGAACGACAAGTTCTTTTCTATTTCTTCATTATTAATAATAATTGCCTTTCTTTTTAAAGATTGGCACCTGAGCTAACAACTGTTGCCAGTCTATTTTTTTCCTTCTTCTTCTCCCCAAATCCCCCCCCAGTAGATAGTTGTATACTTTTAGTTGTGGGTCCTTCTAGTTGTGGCATGTGGGACGCCGCCTCAACATGGCCTGACAAGCAGTGCCATGTCCGCACCCAGGATCCGAACCAGCAAAACCCTGGGCTGCCGAAGCAGAGTGCTGAACTTAACCACTTGGCCACGGGGCCGGCCCCGCCATTTATTGATACTATATGCCAAGATACATACACACATGCACAGACATACACCATTCTATACCATGAATATGTATGTATGTTCATGTGTATGTGTGTGTATCACTTAATTCTCAGAGCATTTCAACAAGATACTATCCACAGTTTAAGGACGAGGACACAGGCCAAGAGAGTTAAGTAACTGACCCAAGGTCACACAGCTAGTGAACGGTCAATCCAGAAGTCAAGCCCATAGTTTTAACTGTCAAGCTATACTGCCTCACAGCACTCAACTCTTTTTATGTACACAGAAGTTCACTAACACTTTAGTGCTAATATGAGAAGTAATTTTGCTTTTCCCTTGCATATGATTCTTTTTTATTGATTTACTTTTTCACTCCTCAACCCATTGTCATCTGGCTCAGTCTACCAATACTCCACTAAATTTGCCATCATAAAGGCTTCCAATATCCACTAGTTGCCAGATCCCATACTTCCCTCATGCTGCTCACTCTCTCACTGTAATCTCATTCTTAGCATCTACCATGACCTACACACTTAGGCCTCCCAAATCCTTTCTGTACCCTGAGTTCCAAATCTAAATAACCAGCTGCCTGCCTCTCAGACAACTCCATTTGGGTTCTCACAGGAACCTCAAACTCATTGGTTCCAACTCCAAACTCATCTCATGTACTTCCTATGTTGGTAAATAACAGCATCCCTTAGTCACTTATATAGAAATCTAGGAATAATCTTTGACTTCTCCCATACCTACTACATCTGGTCAGGCATCAAGTCCTCAGCATTTCTATTAACTCCCCCTCCTTTCCTGCCCTTGCTCTACTTCAGGTCACTACCATCTTTTAACCTGATGACCACAAAGACCGCAGTCACCTGCAATAGTCAGGTTGGTCTTCCTGCCCATGGTCTTGTTCTGCCTCCAATTTATTCTTAGACTGCTGCTGTTGATTTTCAGTTCAACAAATATTCAGTGAGTACTACTCTGTACTCTCAGGCACCATAATAGGGGCTGGAGCTATGAGGGACGATAAGCCACCCTCATTACTCTCAACAAGCTTGCAGTTTAGTGGGTATGACATTCGGTAAATGTTACAAAAGGGATCAGGACCAGATACTATAGAGGTAGGAACAAAAATCCCCTAAAGATTTTCTAGAAAGAGTCATGTCTTAAGCTGAGTCCTAAAGGGTGAGGATGGAGACAGAAGATAGAAGAGAGGAGATGCAGTTTGGTGCTGTCAGTGGGAACAGCAAGTAGTTCCATAAGGCAGGACTGTGAAGTCTGAGTGGATAAAAGCAGACACGACAGAGATTACTGGGGAAGAAAAGAAGTCTTGTCTCACTGATGCAGTTGGAAGTATTACGTAGATTTACCGTTCAATTTCCTTTTCATTCCCCTCTCTGCGAAATCGCTCAATATATTCTTTGCTATGTTGTTCTTGTGTGTGACACTGCTCTTCAAATATTTTAATTGTTTCATTAAAAGCTTCAATTGCAGTCCTCTTCATCTGTATTTCCTGTAGGAGAGAAAAAGCAAAGACATATACTTCATTACCTTTATTTTTTTTGTAACCTTGGTCTTAAAACAAATCTTATAATTCTAGTTACAATTCCATATAGGGCCAAAGTAAGAGGGCTAAAACAGGACCCTTTATTTGACTCCTACCCTTATTACTTATATGCAAAATACATCATCCAAACCCTAAAATAAGAATAACTATTACCTGAAATATAGCTGCGAATCACAGAAAGGCCTCTGAGTTGCTAAGAGAGATTAACCCCTAAAGGCACTAAAGGAGTGAAAGGATGGAGGGGAGGAGTCCATGCACCAACGTGCAAAGCCTTATTCCCCGAAGAGCCCTCTAGAGTCTATTTATGCCTACTTTCATTTCTAAAGCCTGTAGTTTTCCAAACAGATTCATCAGTAGATTAATCTGATTAGAAGCAGAAGATGAAAATGGAAAGAACAGCTGCTAAAATCATATGTAGAATAAGAAGAAAAAGTAAAACTCCACAAAACAAAAGCCCAGTGGGCTAAAGCATTCAGTACTGGGGTAAGGAGTTCTACACATCTTGATGAGCTTTGAGGGTATCTGTGGACTTTAGCATCTGAATCACGATTTCCCCAAAATCTTCAAAGAGGATTAAACTTTGTTCAATTTATTTTGGAAAGTCAAGAAATATGTATAAAGGTTGAGAAAGACTGCTATCCAGACTGCTTACAATTTTAAAAGTTTTGGTGCTTACAGGATAATTCCTCAATTTCAACAAATGATTATTGAGAATCCACCACACAGACAGTACCATATGGTGATAAAGAAATTCATAAAACATGGAGCCTGCCCTCCAGGATTCAGAATACACAGGTAAAATAGATTTCTGAACTCTAATAAGATTTGGTTTCATGTCATGGTAGAGGCAATCAGCTGGGATGAATTAGTTATTTACTGCTTTACAGAGGCTTCATAGAAGAGGCGACATTTAAGCTAAGTCTTAAAGAATTGGGGTACGGAAAGAAAATGCAACACTGCACATAGATGGCATGGCAAGGCGTATACACGAAATAATAGGGGATGTTCATGGATCAGCAGTTGCTCAGGAGAGCTGGAACATACGGAGATTTGCAGAAGAGGGAGGTTAGAATTTTATGATGCTCCCTATAGTTGAAGTTATTATCATACATATCTCAAATAGTACTGTGAATGGACTGAAATGCCTGTATCTAAATATCTTACTACAAATTCTACAACTCTCAGATCATAGTGGAGGGTCTTGGCTCCCTTGCAAGGTTAGAAATTACCTATAAAGCTCTGGTCCTGTAAGTTTCAAAGAAAACACCAATAATTTAGACTTTACTAACACTGGTAAATGTCTTGTTAGGTAGGCAGCAAAGGGAAAAGTATTTGATATTATTGCCAAAGCAGCAGCCCTTCCACAAACAATGCCACTATACACCACCACCAAAATCATACACCAACCTGTATCCAAACTCCTTCTCTCCCTTCTCCCTTTGTCTACATGTACCCTGGGTCCCACCTCCTCTTCCTTTCTCAGGCACTTCATTCATTCCATTACATTAGCCAGCCCCTCTTCCATCATAAACTCTCTCAGTCTAACAGCTCCTTCTCATCAGCATACAAACAAGTTCTAATAACACCACTCTGAAAAAATCCCTTAACCCTAAATTCTCTTCTAGTCACAGTTAAGCTTCTTGAAAGAGTTGTTTATATGGGCTGTCTCTCTTTGCTCACCTCTCACTGACACCCCTACTCATTCTATTCTGGCTGCTGTACTCACCATTCCACAGAGACTGCTCTTTCCAAGTCACCAATGATCTCATTGCCAAATTCCTGTCTTTTATCCCAATCCATCACTAAATCCTATCACTTCTCCTCCTAATTATATGTAGTCTAGATGACAAATATCCCCACATGCAGTCTATTCTCACCCCATGCCAACTCTGACAGGATACACCATCTCTTCCCATTCTCTGGGAAGAATTCAGTTCCACCAAAGCAATCTAGATTTTATCTAAGATTTCACAGAAAAACCAGAGGAGGTCTATAACATGTATAAACACTATAACACTTTAAAACAGAGATGTCCATTCTTTACTCACCCTTTAACACTTAGCATCCCAGCACCTCTCAGGTACTGCTAATCTCTGGGTCCCTCCCGCTCTTCCCCTGCCTCCCAAAGCCTTTTAAGCCTCCATGGCTCTTCTCTGCTCAGCCCCATCTCAAGTCTTGCTCTCAATTCTCACATAGAGAAATTTAGTCCTCTTCCAGCTTCGACCTAGTGGTTTTTTGGTTGCGTCTATCTACCCGCATACCCAGCTCCCCAACCTGGGATTCCAAGCCCAGAACCCAGTCTCATATCAGCTGCTCAGATTCTGCTGTTAAATCTCCAATATTACTGAGGATATGGGCAGCATGTGGAGCGTTCTCTGCTTTCTCCCGCCCTGACAAGAAAGCAGAAATGCAGCTCTACAGAAGCCAAAGCCACATGCAATAGTGGCTGTTTATTCTAACCTCTGTTTATAGGACGGTTAGCCCTCCCCTAGACTCCAGTTCATAGCATGAGTCTGACTCCAGGCGCCTGCCAAGGATGGAGTGTTTTCGGTTCATTACCTTGCATAAATTCATTCAACAAATAACTGAACACCAGGAGGGATCCGCAATGCCACCAGGCCTGCGGCGGGGATGGAGAGAGCGGTGGTTCTGCTGCTGCATGGTAGCGCGCTGCTTAGTGAGCTTGCAGCAGGCGTCCTGGGGGTCCGGGAAGACCTCAGCCCCAACGAAGGGGTCTTCTCCTAACGGACCCGGGATGCCCCCTCCATGTCCTGGGCTCACTCTCCCCCAGGTCAGTCTCAGACCCTTCACCGCAGGCCGACCACAACCCTGACCTCACTGCAGGCCTCCGGCCATGCCGACTCCTCTGCTTGTGTAAGGAGGCCTGGGTGTGGTAGCTGGTGAGAAGGGGGCTGGGGTCTGGTCTAAAAGCTTCTTTGGCAGAACGAGCAGCTTGTGTGCGGTCACAGAGCCACAGCTGCAAGATCTCATTTGCAGGCCATTAGGCCCTGGGAGCCACCAACTCTCAGCTCTTTGGGGGCATTTTGCAGAGATGTCATCTCTCCGATGCCACCTTTCCCAAAGGATTACATGTCATCCCCCCAAAAAAAGATTGTCAAAATAAAGGCACAGTCTCATTCTAAATAATAATAATTGGTCACTAACTATATGCCAGGCATTATTTGAAACATTTCGGATACACCAGCTTAGATAAAGATTTCTGCCCTCCTGGAACTTACAGTTTAGGGGCCTACAAGAACACTAAATAACAGACACAATAAATTCATAAATTATACAATTTCTTAGAAGGGAAGAAGTATTATGGAAAAAAGAAAAGTAGAGTGAGAAAGGAAACTGCAATGCGAGTTACAATTTTAAACAAAGTTGTCAGGCAGGCAGCACTGAGATGACAGCTTGAAGGAGGTAAGAGGGTTAAGCCAGGTGATTATCTGGGAGGAAAGTGTTTTAGGCCAGGAAATAGCCAGTGCAAACACTCGGAAGGTAGGAAGCAGATCCAGTATATTCAAGGAACAGCAAGGAGGCTAGTGTGGTGGGAGCACAGAGAGGAAGAGAGTTGTAAGAAAGGAGGTCAGAGAGGAAGAGGGGCATAGATCATACTGGGCATTGTAGAAAGGACTCTGGCTTTTACTCTGTGTAAAATGTAGAATCAGAGATAGGTCTTAAACAAAGGAGTGCTGTGATATTACCCATGTTTTACAAGTATCACTTAGCTGCTATGCTGAGAATTGATCAGGGGGAAGGGAACAGACATAAGGGCAAGAAGACCAGTTAGGAGGTTTCTGTGGTATATCAAGGCAAGAAATGATAATAGCTTAGGTCAAGGTATTGGCAATTGATGTGGTGAGAAGGCATTGAATTCTGGGTATATTCTAAAAGTAAAGTCAACAGGAATTACTGATGGATTGGATGCAAGGTGTAAAAGCAAGAGTCTGGGATAACTTCAGGGCTTTTGGCCTGAGCAAGAAGAAGAATGTGTTTGCTCTGACCTGGGATAGGGAAAGCAAAGAGTAGAACAGCCTTGAGGTGGAATATCAGAGTTCAATTTTGGAAATGTTAAGTTTGAGATATCTACTAAACATCCAAGTGAAGCTGCTGAATAGGCAGTTGGATATATGAGTCTAGAGTTAAGAGTAGTTAGAAGAACCAAAGATATAACTTTGGGAATTACTGGCATATAGGTGGTATGTAAAGCCATAAGTCTGTTTGAGATTACCAGAGAGTGAATGAGTAAGTAGAAAAGAGAAGAGGACCAAGATTAAAGAGGAAAAATCAACAAAGATGACAGACAGAACTACCAGGGAGATCAAACTCACAGTCATCTCTGCTTATTTTCAGATCTGGAAATTCCATTTAAGATTATTATTATGGGTTCCTGTTCCATCTCTGATCTATAGAAATATTCATATTCTTCTTACATATAGCCATGTGCTTTTAATGTTCATTATTTTTTAGTGTGAGTTATAACATAACAAGTGCATAAAACAGATGCACAGCTTAACAAATTATTACAAAATGAACATCCTCCACCAGCACCCCAGAAATTCCCTGTGTATCCTTTCTGGATCACAACTCCCTGCCTCCCCCAACTCTACCTCTCCCACCTTGGTGATAAACCCTACCCTGTCCTTTATGACGATCATTTCCTTGTTATTCTTTATGGCTTTATCAGTTTACATTCTCATCCAAAATAAAAAAGTTAACATTTGCCTGGTTTTGTACCTTATATAAATAAGACTCACATGTATTCTTTTGCATCTTTTACTCAATATTCTTTGTGAGATTAAACACAGTGTTGTAAATGCCCTTTAAATAAATATAAACACACAAATATAGTAATCCATCATTGCTTTGTCTGATGCAGAAGAAAGGGATTAAAGTACACCATTTTGAATAATGAACATTGTGTTTAACAAATATTGTCAGAG